TTATCGGGATGTACGTAACTAGCCGCCATTCTAAATCGAACAAGCGTTGCATCTCGTATTTTTGAGTCATTGTGATTTCCAAAGAGAGTATTTGAAGTCTTTTGCGGCTTTTCAATGTAGGAAATATTTCATTTTTTATATGCAAATCAAATTAAACATTGAAAAGAGGAGGATGGTGGGGAGGGGGTTGGGGATGCCAAAGTTTAAAAAAAGAATCTTTTGGCTTAGAAAGCTAAACATGTTTATTTAACTTAAGGAAAATAGTTTTAACTCGTAAAAAAAACCGCGAGAGAATGATATACGTAAGAGTATACTGGCCATGAAGCATTTAATATTTTGATGTAGATAAAATTATAATTTATATTTTAATTGGCTAAAGCTATATATATATATATATTACAAAAATATACAAAAAATAGTTATATACCTAAGATAACTATAGTCATGATAGAATAGATTTAGCCACAGAAATACTAAAGCAAACTCCTAGCCTTAGGAACTAGGAATGCAGGTTTAAAACAATTTTTTTCGGATATATATATATATATATATAATTTATTTATTACAAAACATGTTCAACCTCACTTTTATATAAATTTTTTTATATATAAGCTGTCCTAAGTCAGCAATGTTGATAATAATGTAGCATCCATTCTCTTGTATATTTAACTCTATTATTTTTTTTTTCATATTTCCTTTTAAATTCTGTTGTCTGGTTATCTTGCAATCACACAATTCTTTTCAATTTTAATCATGTTTATTCATCTCTCTCTTGTAGAGAAATTTTGATTTTATATATATATAATTAACTTAATATGCTGCAATCTAGAATATTGTTACGTAGATCGGGGTTCGAAGATTTTATGCAAAATCAGTCGTAAACAACAAGACAGTTCTTTAACAGGGATGAGGATTTATTGTCGAAAATCAATCCTTGGAACACAGGATTCAACAGCAAAGTTCGCAGAATAAATATCAGAAGGATTTCACACCTTCAACAGCACTTAGACACAATTATCAGTATCTAAAAATACACGTATATATAAGCTTATTCACAAGCACAGCCGAGCTAATCACGATCAAGGCAAGTTCACTAATCGCTAGTCAAAACCAGACTCGCTCTTGCGGCGAGTATTACTCTATTTATAGCCGGGACCGAAGGTTCCGGAAAGATGCGCTCGCGTCATAGATCGTGAAATTAGTGGATTTCTCTACTAATTTCTAGAAGAATCCAGAGGGTCCCGAACTCGCCAACATGATCTCCAAGTGGGTTGCCAATGTCGCGAAGTTGGTCGCCAACATTGATGCCAACTTGGCTCTATCGCCAATATTTCGCCAAGTTCCCATTGAGAATCGCCGTTATAACGTAAGGAACGGCGTTGCTTGTGAATATTACAGCTTTGACATGAAATAAATGTAGCATAGAGCAATATAAAGGCATTGCACATCCAAATACAAATTATTTACATTATTTTATACAAAATTCGTAACAATATTATGTAACATAATGTTGCCGACGGACATCTTAGTGTTATGTATCATCAGATAAACGTAATGATACTCGACTCAGCATTTCCAATATTTTATTTTTTTATAAGCGTCGTCGAGAACTATTGGAGATGGACCTCGCAGTTTTGAACCTCGGTCAAATGACGAGGATACCTATGGTATCCCCTGTCCTAACTTCTACACCACGTCTCCGGGAGGACTTTGAGTTTCGGATAGAATTAAATGCCTTGGCCCTTCTTTATGAGGGGTCTTGAGCAGGGGTATCAAATTCGTAGGGTTAACTTGAGCCAAGCAAACAAGGTCTAACTTTAGGTAAAAATCAATGTTCATCGAAAAAAGGTTTATTTCGAATAATGCACTATAATAAACATATATAAAAGAACAAGAAAATTTATGATTTACCTCCTTACACTTGTCATCTCTCTCTGCCACTATATTTCCTATTTCGAAAGAAATTCAGATATTTTATTAAATATTGTTGTGTGCCCGATATACACTAGTCGGGCCTCAAAAATGTTCGTCGTGGGCAGCGAGTTTATTACCCCTGGTCTTCAACGTATCACGACTGGAATTCATGACTCAATATCGCTGACCATGACCATTTTGGTACCGTGGTTACCCTCCTCCTCCTCGGAGTCGTTAAGTTTCTCATTAGAGTTGATGCCATCTTCATGTATAAAATGTTAGCACATGCGAAAAGGAAATTTATAATTTTAGGTGTTCCAAGATTTCAATAGTGTCTTCTGAAGTAGTGCGGATGTTTCAAGAATATAGTTACAGCTGTTGTTCTCGTGACCTTCTTCAAAGAACGACAGTGGTATTTCATGAACTCCAACATTTCCCTTAAATTCGTATCGCTCACTACAGTCAGGGTGTAAAAGTGGGTGGCGTGGTTGGTTTGCGCAGGCCTTCTGCATCCGAATTGCGGGTTCAACCTGGCCCAAGTCGGTGCATTTTCATGACGCAGAAAATCGACAGCGGCTATGTCGTATGATTATACGGTATGTAAAATATCCCTCAAGTGTCTGTTTGCCTTGGATGCTCTCGGAAAAATTACTAGTGCTGGTTTACTAACTAGCCATTACTTACACGCTTTGTTGGCTACTTTGTGGCCGCGGTAGCCAAGTGGTCTAGGCATCGGATCGTGGCTAGCATGTCATGATTTCGATCCCAGTACCACTGAAGACCCGCCGTTTAGGGGAGCGATGCACGTTAAATCTGTCGAGAGCTCAAACGTCCTCCCGTTGATGTGGTGTAGTAATTAGGAGAGGGGGTGCCAGCTCAGGTGCCGTCCGCGTCACTTGACCATAGTTCAAAATTACGCGGACCGTCCTCAAAAGCCCTCGTGTAGCTGAACAGTGGGATGTTAATATTCACTCTCTCACTCACTTGGTATCGCCTATATGGTGCAGCGCTAAAAAGTGTTACCAGCTCCTGGGGAATGTACTAGGTCTGCAAAGGTTTAAAATACCAATATGCGCAGCCCTATTAGAAAAAAATGGTGTAAAGCAACTCTAGAGAGTACCGTAGATATATTTAAGACAAATATCTAGTCATTCGTTCTGTCAATATATAGACACCAAAACTGATATCTCATTCCCTAAAGTGACAATGGTTCAAAATTACGAGGACCGTCTCCAAAAGCCCTCGTGTATAGCTGAACAGTGGGACGTTAATATTCACTCACTCACTCATGCCCTAAATTCCATATTACCTGAGAACAAAAAAGTCCAGCTTGATTTTACGCGCAATTTTACCTCATTATTATATATTTCAATTCGAAATATTTCAATAAGTCCGCGATAGCCTACTGTTCGAAGTCGCAAATTTTAATTTTGATTCCTTCAGATACGATTGTGCGCAATGAGGGGAAGGGAGATGATTTTCTAAATTCAGCTAGGTTCTCTCATGTTGAGGAAATCTGAGAAGGAGATACGAACTTCAGTACTGCTAGCATAATGTGGTCGTGCTTCAGAATTGTGAAGTCTGTCGCCAGTGGCGCACGCAAGGGTCCTGGGGGTCCGGGCACCCCCCCCAAAGCCCATGAGTTTTTTTCGATTATAATTATATATATATAACGTAAAATTTAATTAAGTACTTGTAATCAACAATTTATTTTATTAATTAATGCTAATTATTATGAGGATCTATTTTTTACTATTTTTTGTTAACAAAATCAGAAGAATCAATTGGTTTTCTCTTGAGGTATGCTACGAGTTAGGGGACTTTCGACCATGGACTCCCCCCCACCCCCATGAAAAATTTTGGTGTGCTCTACTGTCTGTCGCCTACATTTTATAATGTTTCTTTTGTATATGACGTTAATTCTAATCAAAACTTATCAATATTTTACGTTGCATTACTCGTTCTAGAAAGGTTTTGAGCTTCCCCTGCCTGCGTTTTGGTTTCTAATTAGCTATCCGAGTGCCTCTTTTTTGTTCTCTTTTAAGATTAATAACGCATCTATTTATACAATTCTCGTCATTTGTTGTTCATTTTCCTCCTAATACAATATTATTTCACAAATAAAGCTCATTTTTTGCCCACGTTCGTTCACCGTCGAGCGGAATTGTGGCCTTTCATGGACCAAACAATAAATTTTCTTTTTCAACTCTTTGTGTGTGTGTGTGTGTGTGCACCCAGTTATTTAATTTTTTAAACTTTAAGTAATAACATTATTACAAAAAGATTAATTCGTGTTCTGGGAGAGTGTTTTAATCACTATTGAAATATATAAATAATTCACCGTTACAGTATGTACCGATGGTCATAATATCTTGAATGTGCACTTCCAGTGTTGTGACTGTGAATGAAACGAATGGAAACAAATTATTTAACGCCCGAGGGCTTTCGTGTAATATGTGCGATGGCTTCTAATGACCGAAGCCATTTTAAAACGACCACAAAGACATGAAAATTAAATGCCTTCAATAGCCCTCGATAATTGGACTGGTTTCGGTCCGGCCATTAAATGGGTTCGGGTCGGTAATTGATGTCACAGCTTTCAAATGCAGAAGCCCATTATGTAAATGCCCTTGATCGTCATTTAAAGCGAAGGACATTCGGTTAGTAATACCTGAGAGTGAGACGTTTAAATGGCTGCTCTGGGATTGTGTGTGTGTGAATGGCTTCTGCTGGACTTAATAAGAAACGGGATTCAATGCCGATTGGTGTTTGTGAAATTTAAATATTTCAAAGTTCTTTAATATCCTTTTTGACAAAACTTGTTTTTCAATTCCTACTATTTGTTAGCTCTCTCCTAATTATCTTGTGTTCAAATTTTCAGTCCGTTAATAAAATACTTCCCATTCATCCACACACACACACTTCAAGTTCAAATACATTTTCTCTTAAACTTGTATTGGATGACGCTAGATGTTACTATAGTTTTTTTCAAATATTTATCCATTAATTAAATTTTAAAAAAATGAATAAAAACAAACAAAAATAATAGTCCAACACCATATATAAAAAGGAAAATCGTTCGTCATGCCTCTGTAGTGCAATGGATAGCGCGTTGGACTTCTAATCCAAAAGGCCGTAGGTTCGTATTCTACTTGGGATGGCCTAATTTCTGAGAAACTGATTTCTTTTTAACGATACTAATTTATTAGAATAATTAAATCTAATGAATGAATATAAATAGTAACAAACAAACAAAAAATAGTCCAACACACTATATAGAAAGGAAAATGGGAAGTTGCAAGGAAAATCGCTTTATATTTTGTCACTCAATAGTGTGATTCTGTCATATGCATATATATATTTATGAAAATTGTAACTATTTAATAAAAAGGAACTAAAGTAAAAAAAATTTCTGTTGACCTAAGTAGGAATAGAGTAAATATTTTTTTATTTTTTTATGTTACTTGTTCTTGATATGAACACGTGAATCAACCTCATATCTAGGTATTACTCAGTACATAAACTCTTTTCGTCACAACTAACTCCAGAATGTTATTTTATAACACCACACACACGTAATAGTATTTATATCAGAATACCTGATTCTAGAAACGAAGTCTTTAGACTCGATACAATTAGAAGATCTGATGACAGTGTATTGGGAATTTGAAAGAAAGAGCCTCAGTTTAATTGAAAGAGGGTTACAAATTGAAGAAAATATAGACTCGTATGGAGAGCGTATTTTTTCTATTTAACAAGGAATTAAAAAAAAATCTTTAAGCTGGCTTTTACATTAAAATAACTTCTGATGTCTCTAATGAAATATACTTTCTGGTTAATTCCAACTGAGTTTTAAAATCAGAATGTAGTGTATATGGTATTGAAATATATGTAAAATAAGAACACCCAGGTTGTGATCTTACTTTACTTACTTGAATGTGTCTTATCCTTAAGGGATCAAATTTCAAAACGAGGCATCCCCTTGCCATGTTACATATCACGATTTCGACGTTGATGAAAATAAGTCAAAATGAGGCTGTTCTCTTGAGGTCCTCTTGTCCCTCTTGATGATTCCAAGCATTTACAGATGAGTTTCCTGGATGATCCGGTCTCGCCGTTTCATCACGTCATTTAATCCAGTGACCTTTACGTAACCCCATTAAGGAAATCAAAAGACGTGATATCGAAATAAAGGCACTGGATCCACCTTGATTGATCCGCTTCTATGGGAAATTGCTGTTGTGAAATTTCCTTCTAACGAGATGAGCTAATACTGAAACATTTATTTTTTTCGTTGTTGGAAGAGTTCTTTTGACAGTTTGCCTTCTCTTTCAGCTTTTAAAACAGAATGTTTGAATTATCGTTTTCTTGAGCATTTTTTAATCAAAGTGTTTTCACAAAATTCGTCTTTACAATTGTTTTGGTAACTTTTTAAAATTTTGTGTGAAGACTGTTTTTGCATTCTTTTGTTCATATATCCCATTTTCCTCGTAGTTCGTGGAAAGAAGAAAAAACCTTCAATTTTCATCTTTTCTTATGCATTTGTGCTGAATATCTTCATCGCAAGAATAAATGGAAAGCTTTTAATGTGTTGCTTCGTGAAATCTAAAAATGTTGCTTGATTAGTATGCGTTTACAACAAAGCATGTACATTGGGGTTAAAAATTGGCACGAATTTCTAGATTTTTGTTGAATTTATCCAATAATATTGAACTGAAAATTTTATCTAATCCTTCCAAACGAAGGTGGAAGGTTTTTTATTATCGTTCTTTAAGATACACGTGCGTGGGGGTGGAGGACTTAGTGCCAATTTCAGCACTTCGTTCGTTCGCATCCCTCGCCATCTTTTGTGATACTTTATTGCAGTTTTTTTTGTGTGTGGCACTAGCTCAAGTGTCGTCCTCATCACTCGGGTACAATTTTGTTCGAGGTGCAAAATAACGATTTTCATCGCCATAGCCTTCCTACAGTTCCCAGTGAGTGAATATTAACTTTGCACTATAAAGTTACACAAGGGCTATTGGCGAACGAACCTCGTAATTTTGAACCACAGTCAATTGACGAAGACGACACCTGAGCTGGCACCCCTCTCTCCTAAGTTCCAACCCACACCAACGGGAGGAAGATTAACTCAGCAGATTTAACGTGCATCCTCCCACCTACACAGTGGGTCTTCAGCTGTACTAGGCTTGAACTCATGACACGCCGTCCACGAGTTCCTTACCTTGACCACTAGGCTACCTTTGCCACCTTACAGTTCCGAAGCGCGACATTAATAAACAATCAAAACAAATTTCTTTTATAATATTCAATCGTCTTATGAAAGGGGAATGAGATTAATTAAAGCCGAAATAATAGACAAAATTTTTTGGCCTAGTTTCCCCCTTTATAGCTTCATATTCTAATTCAATATACAGTAGAACGTCGTTTAACCGAACGTTTATTATCCGGAGCGTCAAATATCCCGACCAAATTTCGGATACGTTTTCGAACAGTGCAATGCTCAACAGTTGTTTTGCGTGAGGCCAGAAGTGACGGGAAAATCTAAGATGAGGGATATTTGGGGAATTTCAGTTGTGTGATTTGGTAAACATCTGCGCGAAAAAATGTTACATCAGTTTGTTTCCAAGTGAGGGGGTGTATACGTGCTCTTTTGTCGGATTTTGTTCATGTAGAAGCCAGGATGGCATGCAATGCATAATACTGGATTTAAAATGTTAAATGATGACGAGATTGTGACTTCCGTGCAAGAAAAACTGAGCCCTGTCGACGATTAAATGGATGAAGACGAAGACAACGAAACTAACAAGGGTCGATCAAATGCTGACGCGTTTCCTGCGTTAGAGACAGCTATGGAGTGGTACGAACAACAATCAGATTGTTGTCCTACTCAACTACTGATGCTCCAGAGAATCAGAGACCTTACAGCGAAAAAACTGAAGGTGTACAATGGTACAGCGAAAAACAAGTGATTATTTTCCACAATAAAGGTAAAATTGCGACATTTTGCACCTATTTCGCCTTTTCTTCAAGCACGTTTCCCGCATGTGATGAGTTTCAATATTCGTATAGTGTCCGGTTTCATATACTGAATGATTCGCATTCAGTTTTCGGTTATCCAAACAATCGCGTATCCGAACGGTGTCCGGTCCCAGTTGATTCGGATAAACGACGTTCTACTGTAGTAGTTTTAATACATTAAATTAACTATTGTGCTCTCATAGCTTGTGTGTATATCCCTGATTTTAATTCAGTCCATTGTGCAAATTTATTAGGTTTAAAGCAGAGCTTTACTTTGGCTCCCATGCGCTTCGGGGCAGAAGTCACTTTCATTCCGAGATATGCAGAGGCAGTAATTAATGTCATTGATGCGATACTGTGTAACTGATGGATGAGTCTTTATCTCCCTTTTACGTTTCTGCTAATTTATAGAACTCTCTGTCACATTCTATTATTAGGTGCAGTCGTGCGAAGAATGCGAGTTCTTTGTTTAAGAGGGAAGGCCCTGCATTCACAAGAGCCATTTACATTTTAAGACTAAGAATTATGTTTCAGTGTTTCTTGGTTTAAAAAAAACGGATGCCTTAAAAGTTGTTACTTATTGAATCTTCAGTTTCTTTACTCATATCTTGCAAGTAATCAGGCCTATAAAAAGTTAGTTGATATTCTGTTCATCAATTCTGGGGAAAAAGCTGTGATAAATTTTGTTCTTTTTTGTGCTTGTGATAAGAACAAAAAATAATTTGTAAAATTTATAGATCTCAATTCGCTACACATATTAAAATACGCGAATGTTTTCACGAAATATTCACTTATCTGTATTTTCAAGGTCGAAGTTTCGTTTGAATTATGGTCGCTTTAAAGTTGCTCCGAGGTGATAAATTTCGTACGTTTGAACCACAGTTTAGAGATAAGGATGATAATTTCACTAATGTCTCATTCTTCCAGTTTCCACACTACGCCATGCTTAGAATTCTGAAGTCTGGTCTAATTTTATTTGTAGCAGTTCTCATATTTTATTTAAGCAAATCCAGACACAAACATACAATACGACGTTTAACATCTGATCACAAAACACGTGATCTCGTCCAATAACGTATATAAGAGTGAGGTTTGGGGGTTCAGACTTTTGATTTTTAGTATAAGGATTACGTCTTGGGTGCTCGTGGCCGTGGTAGTCTTGTGCTATGGTCACGAACTCGTAGCCGGAGTGTCACGGGTTTGAGTCCTGGTGCCATTGAGGATCCGTTGTGTAGTGAGGACCAATGCATGTTAAATATGCCCAGACTCAATGAAATGGGCATGTTAAATCTGCCCAGACTAAATATGCCACTGAAGACCCGCTATGTCGAGAGGCTGATGCACGTTAAATCTCCCGAGGCTTAAAGTTATCTCGTTGGAGTGGTGCTGGTAGCTTGTTGCTAGCTTAGGGTGTCATCCTCCTCACTTGACCGTAGCTCAAAATTACAAGGTCCATGGCCAAGGACCCTCCTGTTGTTTATAAACACTCTAACTTGACTGTGGTTCAAAATTTGGGATGCATCTTCAATAGTCTTAGTAATAGGTTCGTAATACGACATTAATAAAAAAAAAATTTAATTAATCTCACTGTTTTAATTTGCATTTATATCAATCTTAATCAGGTTTTTAAAGATTTTTCTTTAAATTCTGAAATTGCTGGAGAATATTTTTGGATTGTTAGGGTCAGCTTCACAAAGCACCTTGTTCTAAGGCCACCCCACGGCACGCTTGCCACAATGTGGCATGATGGGGTTGTAACAGTGGCGCACGAAGACTTACTGAAAATTTGTTTAAAATTTTAAAAGATAATAGTAAACAACCATTTTATTTTTATTATTTTTTTACAATTTTATCGAAACGGGGTTGTCACAGATAAAAAAAAACAACTCAAAATTTGTATCAAAATATGTTTGTGAATAAATGTTTTCTTGAGCACAAGAAAATAAATATCACTAAAAACTATCTGATAAATGCACCTGTAATACCTACCTAATTTTACCTATTCACCTACCCTAATATTTTTAGCATTTACAAAAGCTAATACTAATATACAGATGGTAAAAAAAAATGTTGTTATTCAAAAGGCTTATTTAGAAAGTACTGAGTGTTTAATAACTATTTTGAGTTAAGTGATTTAAG